GAGATTCAACATAGAATTAAAGGAATTGGGTAATTTTACCAAACTTTGTTTTCTTTACAACATATTAAATATTTTTCATTGCTGCATCATAGTATTTCCTTTTATATGCAGGAACAACCCCAATATTATTCCAGAAACAGTTAGTAGATTGAAGGACATGTTAGATGAGTTCAACACACATGCCAAATCTTTTAGGATGGCAGCAGATAGATTAAAGGATTGTCCTTTGCCTGATCTCAGGCTTAAGCTAATATCTAATAGATCAACAGATGGAAGGATTTATAACCAACCTACTGTTTCGGAGGTAGCCGCCCTAATAGTTGGTGATGTTGATACAGGTTCTAAGAGGGATATTCTTCTTGAAAGAAAGAGCGGAAGGCTAAAAAGAATAAGTGAGTTTCATTCAAGTTATCTGGCATATCAATATCCACTTTTGTTTCCTTATGGGGAAGATGGTTTTAGACTTGGAGTTCTTCTTAGAGAAACTAATACCAAAAAAAAAATGAAGAGGAATAAGCTTACCATTAGAGAATGGCTTGCTTTTAGGATTCAATGCAGACATAACGAGGCACAAACTATATTGCGGTCAAGAAGGTTGTTTCAACAATTTTTGGTTGATGGATTTACTATGATGGAGTCACAAAGATTGAATTATATTCGAAAACATCAGAAAAAGCTGTGTGTTTCTAAATATTGCAATTTGAGCTCATCTGAACAGAATGCAAACACTCAAGGATCAAACAAAGGTAAAAAAGTGGTTTTACCTTCAACTTGTGTTGGAAGTCGGAGGTTTATGGAACAACTCTATTTTGATGGAATGGCAATTTGTAGCCAAGTTGGATTTCCAGATCTTTTTATCACATTTACTTGCAATCCCAACTGGCCTGAAATCCAAAGGTTGCTTAGCAAAATTAACTTGAATTCTCAAGACCGTCCATATATCATCTCAAGAGTCTTCAAAATTAAGTTCGATGAGTTGTTGTGTGATCTAACAAAAAAGCACGTGTTAGGGAGAGTGATTGCATGTAAGTCAATTTAATACCCTTTCAGTCGAGTTATATTTTTTGACATTAATCTTATTAAATATGTAATACGCATCGTTTTACTAAGTTTAAACTTACTTAATTTCATATATATACACCATTGAATTCCAAAAGCGGGGTTTACCACACGCCCATATACTATTATTCTTGCATCCTTCAAGCAAGTATCTGACCCCAAATGATATAAACGAGATCATTTCAGCAGAGATACCAACGGAAGAAGATGATAGGCAACTCTACCATTTGGTCAAGACACATATGATTCATGGCCCATGTGGTTTAGAAAATGCGAATTCAACTTGCATGAAAAATGGAAAGTGCTCAAAATACTTTCCAAAGAAATATCAAACCGAAACCATTGTTGATCAGGATAGATATCCCGTGTACCGAAGAAGAGAAACTGGTAATACAATGCTGAAAAAACACGTTCAACTTGATAACAGATATGTAGTTCCTTACAATCCATATTTGTTGAAGAAATTCCAAGCACACATCAATATGGAGTGGTGTAATCAAAGTACTTCAGTTAAATACTTATTTAAGTATATTAACAAGGGGTATGATAGAATTACTGCTGCTGTTGTCCAAACTGACGGTGATGGATCTCCCTCGGTCAGAATGGTTGACGAAATCAAGCAATATCTTGATTGCAGATATATCTCACCAAGTGAGGCATGTTGGAGACTTTTTTCATTTCCTATTCATGGTAGATCACCCGCAGTTGAAAGGTTGTTCTTTCATCTTGAAGGAGACAACTCTGTTTATTATACCGATTATGAATTGATAGATGAGGTGCTTGACAAACCAACTGTGAAAGAATCTATGTTTACGACATGGATGGAAGCAAACAAAGCATACCCAGAGGCAAAGAATTTGACGTACTCACAATTTCTTTCCAAATTTGTTTATGATAAAAGATACCGTCGATGGAGACCGCGTAAAAGAGGAAATACAATTGGCAGACTTATTTGGGTCCCTCCAAGTACGGGTGAGTTATATTTCTTGAGAATGATGCTAACAGTCGTCAAAGGTCCAACTTGCTATGAGGATATAAAATTTGTGGGTGGAAAAGTTCAGGATTCTTTTAGGGATGCATGCTTCGAAATGGGCTTTCTTAACAATGACAAGGAATATGTTGCAGCCATCGACGAAGCAAAGAATTGGGGTTCCGGGCATTTTTTACGAAAGTTATTTGTCACTATGTTACTATCCGGTACTGCCAATAGACCACGACATGTTTGGGAAAAAACTTGGAGGACGTTATCTGATGGTATCCTCTACCAACAAAGGCAAAAAACAAATAGAAGAGGTATGAACACTTTATTAAACTTTTTTAAGTCAACAAATATTATTTTCTGAATGCAAGCTGTATCTTTTTTTATTACAAAATATAATGATATGAACTTACTTTAAAATATAATTATTCTTCATCCATATGTCCCTTATTTAATATGTTTCATAAGGTATGTCCATTTACGTAAGAAACATTTTCATATTTGTCATTTGTCATGTATGTAAGTTATTTTCTTAACTTGCAGCTGCAACAGTGTCTTTGGTTCCATTTAATTTCACGCAGCCGCAACATCAACTGTTTGATTTATGTTCAATGTATTTCAACATCACGACAGCAGTTGCATCATACATATGTAATTATATAGAAAACTAATGAAATTTTTTTAACAGAATTGCAGCTATCGGACAATGAGTTAAAGAATCTCACACTAATTGAGATTGAGAACATGATGCAATCGAATCGAAGAAGTTTGCATGAATTTAAATGTATGTCGTATCCAGATTCATACATCACAAAACATGTTGGCAATAGGCTTATTTATGACGAACTTAATTACGATGCCGATACCGAGAAACAGAAATTCCAAGAACTTTTTCATGCCCTTACAGGTGATTTATTTTCTTTATACTATGAATTACAAAAATGATTTTTATTGTCCTTGCACTTATAATTCTTGGTTTGTATTTTATAGATGAACAACGTTTGATATTTGAGAAAATCATGGATGCTGTTAACAAACAGAGTGGATGGGTATTTTTCTTGCATGGTTACGGAGGGACTGGTAAAACTTTCATGTGGAGAACACTATCAAGTGCACTTCGTTCTCAAAAAAAAAATTATTCTTACTGTTGCTTCAAGTGGGATAGCTTCGTTATTATTGCCGGGTGGAAGAACAACACACTCAAAGTTCAAAATACCTGTGCCAACGCTTGACAACTCAACTTACAACATCGACAAAGACACCGAACATTCTCAATTATTTGAAGCAACGAATGTGATAATATGGGATGAGGCACCTATGTCTCACAAGAACTGCTTCGAAGCATTGGATAAAACCCTTAAAGATGTAATGAGCAAAAAGGGTGTTGAGAATACTATTTTTGGTGGAAAAGTTGTTGTATTTGGAGGAGATTTTAGACAGATTCTTCATGTTGTTCCAAGAGCTGGGCGTTCTGATATTGTTCATGCATCAATTAGTTCATCTTATGTATGAGATTATTGCCAGGTTTTAACACTATCAAAAAATATGAGACTTCAAGAGGGAAGAGACAACACAAGTTCTAATGAACTAGCGGAATTTTCAAAATGGATTTTAAATGTGGGTGATGGTAAGATTTGTGAACCCAATGATGGTTTGGTTGATATTGAAATTCCTCAAGAGCTATTAATATCAAATTTTGATGATCCTATAAGAGCAATTGTTGAAAACACATATCCCAATTTGTTGGAAAAATATCAAGATGTTGAATTCTTACAAGGAAAGGCTATTCTTGCTTCAACCATTGAAGTTGTGGATAAAATCAATCATTATGTATTAGACTTGATACCAGGTACATGTGTTTTATATTTACTGTATTATTACATTCATAATATATATATTTAAGAACATAGTTTTACTAATTTATTTATGTTTTGCTTTTAAACTTTTTTTTAGGAGAAGAGAAAGAGTATTTGAGTTTTGATTCCATTGTAGAACAAATTCAAGTTATACTGAAGCATATGAAGTTCTAACTCCTGAATTTCTCAGTAAATTAAGAACGTCAGAGCTTCCCAATCATAGGATCAAATTGAAGGTTGGTACACCTATTATGCTAATGAGAAATTTGGACCAAGCCGATGAGTTGTGCAACGGAACAAGATTAATTGTTACAAGATTTGCAAATCATGTCATTGAGGCAAAAATCATGTCTGGAAAGAACATAGGTAACATTTTTTACATTCCACGAATGTCTGTCACCTTCTGATTCACCTTGGCCATTCAAGTTGATTAGGAGACAATTTCCGATTATTGTCTCCTATGCAATGACAATTAATAAGTCACAAGGTCAATCTCTTGATAGTGTTGGATTGTATTTGCCTACTCCTGTGTTTAGTCATGGTCAATTATATGTTGCAATTTCAAGAGTTAAGAGCAAAAGTGGGCTAAAAATCCTAATTCATGACAAGGAGAATGTACCGTGTTCTACTACTACTAATATTGTGTTGGTAAACTTTATATCTTATACTTTACGATTCAAATTAAAAATCTATTTTGAATTAAAATATATAGTATGTACATTTTCCATGTATTTCAAGAAGTATATAATTTTTCCTATTTGTTCATGCAGATGTGATTTGTTGATAGGACCGACGCTTGCTACAAATATGGAGTTAAATGCCAACATAGTTTACATGAGATATATACTCAACTGAAAACATGGTAACATACTTAATAATTTAATAATCTATAAATGTAATATGAATCCAGACGAAACCCGTGCGATGGCACGGGTTTGTTACTAGTTATATCTAATACGATAAGAAAATATCTCAAATATATAATGCGCTGGGAAAGCCATAACCACCGATAGACCCAAATCAAACTGAAATTCAAAATCCATAACAATATTCAGTTACAGTAATAGTGAACCAAACAAAGCCATATTCAATTCTCCAAAACTAAAATGTTAATTCCTCTTTGCAACCCTTCTCTTTCGCTTCATTCAGCTTCAATTCATGGAAAACCTAACAAGACTATCGTCTCAATCACGAACTCTGCATCTTCCGGCAACAGAATAAGCACCCAGCGAAGAACTATCTCAGCATTCGAAGCTCGAATCTCTCTAATCTTCGCTCTCGCTTCCCAATCCACCTCTCTCTCGCAGCGACGTAAATCTACTACTTTTCTCTTCATGATTAATTTTCGGTTGAATCTTTTCATGTTTTTCTGCTTTCTCTCTTTCTTTTGATGTATTTACGTGATGCAGTTGTTGCCGATTTTGCTACCGACACTGCAAAATACTTGTTTCCTAAAAGATTTGAAAGCCAAACTCTCGAAGAAGCGTTGATGACCGGTGGTTTATTTTCCTTATCAGTTATGCAATAGTTTCTGATTATTATTGATATAATTTGCTCTGTATCATTGACACCTCTTAAGAAGTGTATTCGTATCTGTGATTACGTTTAATTTATTCATTTTTTTGAATTTTATATTATTACGAGTGTTAGTGTCGTGTTTCGTGTATCCGTGCTTCATAGATAATTTGTTACTTTTTCTTGTATATTAATTTAATTATTTTGATGTAGTTCCGGATCTCGAGACTATCAAGTTCAAAGTTCTGAGTAGAAGGGACCGGTATGAGATTAGGGAAATTGAGGTATTGAATATAATTGTTAATTTATTCAATATTTATTATGCTTTTACAGTTTTAGTTCACTTTGATGACATAGAATTTATTAGTTCAATTCGTTTTTTCTTTTGTTTCCATAATGATAGTGTGATTTCTTCATGTTTTCACTTGGGTATGTGTGTACATGTAAAATGCATTGGGGCTTTCCTTTATAAGAGTTTTTTCTTAGTTAAGAACTAAATGTATTTCAATGGCAAAGCACTCGTTAAACTGAAGTAAATTCAAACTAGATTCTAATATAAAAATCTGATATATTATGCTTCGTCGTTCAATTTGTAGCTGTCAAAAACCCGGAGTTGAGGGATTGTGGTTGACAGGTAATGTAAGTATACTTCATATTCTAAGTTAGTTGAATTGATATGCTACATATATTCATTTGTGTCAAAATACTTACAAGTTGCAAGTGCTGGCCTAAAACTTCGCTCCAATGCGAGTGCTTTGCTATCACCGACAAACCATTTGGTCTCAGGAATGTGTTTGATAGGTAACCCCTTTATAAGTAGTTAGTTAATAGTTAATGGATTAGTTAGCGGGTGTGTTAGGGCGATAGTTAGACCCAATAAAACATGTTGCCTATAAAAGAGAGGAGGGATTAGAGAGGGGATCCTCTTATTAATCGAGTGATATAAGGCCTTTTGGCGTTGTGAGGTGGCCAAATTCAAAGTTGTGTTTTGCTGTTGTTAAGTAATCAAAGGAATTATTTCTCATTTTTTGTAATAATACCAGTTGGTTCCTATCAATCTCACCCACATTGACTTGATTATCTTTGCAGCCTTACTTTGTAGCAGAGGCTACAATGCCTGGGAAGAACGGGTTTGATTTCAGCGGTGCTTCTCAGTCATTTAACGTTCTTGCTGAATACCTTTTTGGTAAGGTAGTAATACAGTTTAGAACCGACTCACATTTGTGTATTTAATTTCTTTTACTGGGTTGCATTTGGTTGCTGCATTGTTTGGTTTCCTCTTTCTATTTTGGAAGAAGTTATAGATGTGTGCTGTTGTTTTTATGGTAGAATACAACGAAGGAAAAAATGGAAATGACTACACCCGTTTTTACCAGTAAGAATCAATCGGATGGGGTTAAAATGGATATGACAACTCCTGTGTTAACAACAAAGGTATTATGATTCTTTTTCATGGACTCTGTTAAATATCTCAGTTACAGTTTTTACTTGTTTGTTTTCATATGAATTTGCAGCAAAGTTACTTCCATATATTCTTTATTTGATTTATTTATTATAAATTCATTTCATCAACAACGGTTTTGGAAGTAGTATATATAAGAAAAAGAATGGCTGAGAAATAATCTCACCTAACTTATTCTATATTCTTCAATAATGGCAGCAAAATACTAATTATCACAGTTTGTCTTTTTGACCTACCGTAGTTTACAATATTATAAACCAACCTTCTTGAATCAGAGCTCAATCAAATTAAAGCTCGGGCAGTGATTAAAAAACCTAAACTACCCTGGAATGTTTTGTCAAGCTGACATTTTATGACTACCTAGCACCTGAAACTCTTTTGAATTCTTAGTTCTCTAAATGCCAAAGATTGGCTTGAAGTTTGGATAAGTTGATACTGTTCTTCTTCATCTTAGGAATCAACCATATCTATCCCAACTACATGTCATTATATATTTTCTGGAAGTTCCGCATTTAATTCTAGTATTTAATTGGGTGATATTTCTTAAATATATGTTTGCTTTATGATGTTCTAATTTGTTGATGGTGTTATCTTAGACGGGAGATCAAGATAAATGGAAAATGTCTTTTGTCATGCCTTCAAAGTATGGTTCTAATTTGCCACTGCCAAAAGATTCCTCTGTGACAATTAAAGAAGTGGCTAGAAAAATAGTTGCTGTAGTTGCCTTTTCAGGTGTGCTCTTGCCTTAATACTTTGTATATAGTTTCTATACAAATTTAGGATTAAGATTTTAAAGTAATTATTACAGGAGATAGCACATATAACTCACAATTTGGTTTATTCCATTCACATGTATATTTGTATGCAGAGAAATGTTAGCAACACATTTTTTCAACATTCTCGATATTATTAAGTGAAATTCATGTGGGAACCTCAAAATAGGAAATGAGACCGGCATGATTTAGTATGAATTTCATTCAATTATAGTATGCTGCTAGTATTTCTATGTATAGATTTGTAGTCCCACACAATTCAGCGAATCTCTATATGTTTTTATGTGTGTGTGTGAGAAATCAACTTACTCTAGGAGTAACTCTACATTTAGTTACTTTGCTTAATAACTTATTATAAATATTAGATTTTACTAATTCAACCGTTAAATTGAATTTTTTTATTGAGTAGATCAATTGCACAATTTTTTATAAAATTTCAACAGTTAGATTGATGAAATCTAATATTTATAATGAGTTATTAAGCGGAGTAACTCAAAACAAAATTATTCTTAGAGTAAGTTGATCCCTCCTCATTTATTACACATATTTGGATGTGCCCTTTCTCTCTTTTTCTGGTGCACGTGTTGGGAAATTGGATGAGTAAATTGGAGAACTCTAAATATTCATTTGTAAGTGGATAAAATATTTACTGAAAATTCTTTTAAATTCCTAAACCAAACATATACTTCCTTTTCCTTTATACTGCATCAGGTTTTGTAAATGATGAAGAAGTTAAGCGGCGTGAACTGAAACTGAGAGAAGCTTTGAAAACTGATGGACAGTTCAAAATTAAAGAGGGAACTTCAGTAGAAATTGCACAGGTTAAATCCCTAATGCAATCTTTGAGTTAAGCATCTCTAATACTTTTTCATTTATCTCTTCTTCAGATGGTAGTTACTCTTTTATTTTGTTTCAGTACAATCCCCCATTTGCTCTTCCATTTCAACGCCGTAACGAGGTTGCATTGGAAGTGGAGTGGAAAAATCAGTAGGGAAAGTATTTGCCAAACAGTCTCAAGGTACTTTAGAAGTTTCATCATTTCACTGTTAGCTGCAAATGATACCTGTTCTTTATCATGAATCAGACTCCAATACAACTTTACAAGATATTTCATACTCATTATTGATGCTTGGCTTTTTATTTTTTGTAAATAGGTCATGTGCTCAATACTGATGGTTGTCTATTTTGTAAATAGGTCTTGTACTCAATATTGATGTTTAATATATGTATGTAGACTTACGTGTTTGTATATGTAATCAGTTTGGTTATAATGTGTGTGTAAGTCTAGCATTGTAAAAGTCTGGCGTTATATGGAAATTACATTTTTTCCCCAAAGAATTTACCAATGTATAGCTGAACCTGAAAAGAAAAAGAGTAAGAGAAATTATACAGTAGATTATTTTTCAGTGGTCTATCAAATATCGATACACCATGTACAAGTGATATGAACCCCTCTCATATATAAATTTTAGTAATAATATCTGGAAATGTTGAAATATAGAAAGGCCATTGATATAAAAGGGAATTAAAACCGAGGTATATCTTGTATTAGAACTGGAACTTCACTGAATTTAGATACATGAATTATTCACTAGAAATGGTTTAATTTGTCACTCCTAACTGATTCCTATTTATCCTTTTCTAATTGAGCCACTTTGTCCTCAAGGAGAATAGATGGAAAGGAACACTGAGAGTAGTTCTTAGTTTCCCATGAATTCTCAAAAGATAGTTGATTCTACCATTTGAGTACTTGTTTGTTGCCATTATCATCTTCTTGAAACCAGATCTTCTGGCTGAACTTCTTATCTTAACCCTTCAGTCAACATAGGAAGCAGAGGTTGTGCTTGAGTATTAGGTGAGATGGCTGCCTTTAACAACGAGACATGAAAAACTCGATGTATCCGACTACGTTCTCTCAGTTTATTTGCCATTTTCCCCACTCTCTTCAGAATTGGAAATGGCCCATTGAACCGAGGACTATGCTTTTCATTCACTCTTCTAGTCAAAGACTTGCAGTGTTAGGGCTTTAATTTTAAGTACACTATATCTCCATTCTTAAACTCCAACCTTCTCTTCTTGTCAGCTTGCGGTTTCACTCTATTGTTTTTTAACTTGTCCAATAGTTGATCTCTCTCTTCAAACATCAGGTTAACATCTTTAACTGTCGAATGGATAGTAGCATGGCAAAGTAGGGTGGGGAGGGTCCCAGCCATACAAAGCCTTGAATTGTGTGAGTTTAGTTGACCTGTGAAAGTTGGTATTGTACCAAAATTCAGCTCAACTGGGAGTTTTGGCCATTGTGTCCTGGTTGAGAACCTGCCTTACATCACATGTCTCTAAACATCGATTTATGACTCTATCTGTCCATCTTGTTTAGGGGGATATGCAGTATTGGACTTCAATGCTGTGCCTTCTAGTTTGAATAATTCTTGATTTTTGACCAAAAACGTCCGAGGAATAGTAGTGGTCTCTATCCTTTGCTGCTAACAGCTGTTACAATTATTAATTCCTCTTAATCCCTTTTGTTTTGCCTAACAAACACTCCTTTAATTAATGGGAGATTGTCATCTTGTTTGAGCGTATGGAGACTGAGGCGGTGGCCGCATCAATATTACATGTCTCATGATTTTCAGGGTGGGTTTTCCTCTGCTGCAATGGTTTAGAATTCGGATTGCCTTCCCCCCTCCCTTGAAACCATCCACTTTGCCATTAGTTTCTCCTACTTTGACTGCCTACTAGTTAAAAGCAACTCCATCCCTCCCAATATCAAATGCTAGTTGCTAAAGACAGTATCCTCATCCCATCCTCTCCTCGGTAGCGAGTTCTTGCGGTTGAATATGGATATGATCTCCAGCCCAGAATATACCCATCTTGTGCTATGATGGATGTATTTCTGTAGCAGAGGAATCTTATGAGTATGATAAGGATGAAACAGTTGCTGCAGGTTACAAATAGAAAGGATTGATATGTAATTGGTCTACAGGTGAATTAACTTAAAAGTTGTCCACCTTATACTGCTCCTATTAGTAATAACGGTTTACACGAGGCTACTTGCATTTGTTAATAAATAAGAACCCCTACTCATATTTTTTGAAAAAAGACCTCTTTGGTGGTGGGAACATTGAACATAGTCATAGTTTCCCATGAGTTCTCAAAGGAAGGCAGATCTTGCCATTTGAGGAGTACTAGGTGGTTGCCATTATTTATCGTCTAGAAACCACATTTTCTGGTTTTACTTCTAATCTTAACCCTGCAGTCAACATAGGAGGCAGAGGCTGTGCTTGAGTATTAGGTGAGATGGCTGCCTTCAGTAATGAGACATAAAAAACACGATGTGTCCAACTATGATCTCTCGGTTAATATGCCATTTTCCCCATTCTCTTCTGAATTGGAAATGGCCCATAGGATCGAGACTTAGCTTTTTATTCAGTTATCTAGCCAAAGACTTGCAGTGATAGGGTTGTAATTTTAAGTGCATCATGTCCGCCCCCCCCCCCCCCCCCCCCCCCCCCCCCCCCCCCCCTCTTCTTGTTAGCTTGCAGTTTCATTCTATCTCATACCTTCATGAAATTGTTTTTCAACTTGTCCAATAGTTGATCACTCTCTTTAAACATTTGGTTAACATCTTTGACTTCCGAAGGGATAGAGCATGGCAAAGTAGGGTAGAAGGATCACAACCATATAGAGCCTTGAATGATTGTGTTTAGTTGAGCTGTGAAAGTCGGTACTGTACCAAAATTCAGCCCAACTGAGGAGTTTTGGCCATTGTCTTGGCTTAGAACCTATCATGCATTGCAAGTATGTCTCTAAACATAAATTTATGACTTCTCTCTGTTTGAGGCTGATGTGTAGTACTAAACTTCAATTTTGTGCCTCCTAGTTTGACAGATTCTAAAAAGAAATGGTTGAGGAATAGTTGGTCTCTGTTATAGAGTCCATCATCAAATGAGATATGGTCTGGAAATATGTTTATAAGTTGGCCAATCACCTTACAAGACAGTTTTGTAAAGCAGTGCCCAACGTTAATTCTAAGTTAATATCAGAGTCTATCCAAGATTTGTTGGACCCTGCTATCAAGTTTACGCTCTCAGGCCACCTACCATATATTGTTTGTAAGGTTGTGTTAGGTCCAACCACAATTCTAAGATGGTAAGCTGCCATAATAGCAGTCTCTATCCCGTTGCTGCCGTAATAACAGCTGTTACAATTATTAATTCCCCTTAAGTATTTTTATCTCTTATATACACTCCTTTAACTAATGGGCGATTATCATCTTTTTTGAGATTATGGAGACAGGAAATGGCCACATCAAAATCATCTGTATCATGATTTTCAAGGCTTTCCTTTGCTGCAATGGTTCAGAATTCTTATTTCCTTTTCTCCCTCCCTTGAAACCTTAGACCATGTTGAAGCCATCAGTTTCCCTTACTTTGATTGCCCACTAGTTCAAACAAAGCACCCCCTTCTCGATATCAAATGCTAGTTGCTGAACTCAGTATCTCAGCCTGTCCTCGGCAACAAGTTCTGATGTTGAACATGGATATCATCTCCATTCCAGAATAATAAGGATGAAACAATTGCTTCAGGTTACAAATAGAAAGGATTGATAAGTAGTTAGTTGGGTCACAGGAGCACCACTTTTAAAGTTGTCCGCCTTATACTGCTCCCATAAGTAATGGCGGTTTACATGACGCTACCTGCTCCTGCACTCGATAAGCTCTTTTTCCGATCTGGGTCTTTTTTCTAGAGACAAATTTCTCGATTGTTGTTAGATAGGGACCCCTAATTATATTTCGAAAAAATAAACCTCTTTGGCGGGAGATTTTAAAAACCCATGAAGATCGTGTCAAATTATCATGCTACTAGATTTCTTTGCTCGCTTTTATTTTTATGTTTCTTGTTAATCAGTTTGGGAGGGTTAACTGAGTAACAACAAAAACACAACTTTATCACACTAAGCAGGGTCGGCTACATGAATCAACTTCTAGCATAATGTTCTATCCATGATCATGCTTTTATCCAAATCGTTAATCTCGGATGTTTTGTTTTATTTAAATTCATACATTTACTATTGAAAAGTGATCTATACCTTGAGGCTACTAGCCTTCAAATTCTATTGATTTACTTGTACATTAAATTTCTCACTTTGATCCTACAATCCCTCCTCCCTCTTCTTTCCCTTAAGCAAAGTGCACCTTACATTTCTCCCCTGATAATAATTTATCTCAAAAACCCTTTTAGTTAGATTATGTCAAAATAGATGGCTCATTAACCTTACCACCCACCTCTTTTCTTCTTTTTCACAATGAGATTAAATCTTAATATAGACGTTTTACTAGAGGTTACCTGTCTCATCAAACTATATATGGAGTAAATAGTAGTAACAATAATAGGAAATTGACCTATTGTAAGAGCAGTTTATTAACACCATTATAATCACATTCTCCATTAACCCAAGTTTGAATGGCAAACATAATCATACTTACTCCATTATTATTTTTTATGGGGAGGTTGTATTAGCATTTGAAAAATTCATGTGAATGCATACTTTACCTAGTGTTGAGGCTAATAGCTGATGAAATAACTTCAAAACGTGATTTCTATTGAACTCATTGTATTACTAACATCATGCAGTTAATGAAAGTTTAAATTATTGAATCCTAATAATACTTGATAACTAGCAATTGTATTGATTGTGACTAATCCGAGTCGAGTCAGGTAAGCCTATTGGAGGGGACAAAAGCTTTTTCAACACCAATTTTCTCCACACAAAACATGAAATTAAAATTTTATTTAAAGAGAATAAAGTTCCTTGCCATTTGAACCAACTTATGTGTAGGTTAAGAATCTTATATTAGACGATATAAGGACTAGCTAGACATATGTTTACAAGTGGAAGTAATTTTCATCCTACTTTATGGTTTTATAAGTTTGAATTCGATCCATTTTAATTTTATAATAGTATTAGACACTTCATTGGACCACCCGCGA